GTGGAAATTCTCAAGCCACCACCGGATATTATCGAATTATGTTTTAGTCACTCGGTCAAATATGACGGAAACGACGAAGTTTTTACGTCCTCAAGTGGATATTGTGTATATGTACCAAAGCGGTCAATAATTTATCTAAATGCTCGATCGCTATCAGCTGTAGAAGCGTTAGCGAGAGATTTAGAGAGTTTTTGTAGTAAGTTAAATATCTTAGAATTGCTTATTATCAAAAATAAAATATATGAAGGACATATTAAGTTACTTGCAAGTACAATTAAAAAACTAAAGTTGAGTCGGCCGCGATTATTGATAACTAAAGATGTTAAGCGTATCAGAAATGACGACGAAAAGATAGTTATATTAAATGACTTCCACTTGTTGCCCACCAGTGGGCATGCTGGGATAAATAGAATGCTAAACAATATTAAAAAATACTATTTTTGGCCAGGCATTACAAAGGATGTCGTTAATTATGTCAATAAATGTAAGCTTTGTCAAATAAATAAATACACCAATAGATACATTAAGGAACCTATGTCATTAACGACTACCCCTAATTCGTCTTTCGAAAGAATTAGTTTAGATATAATGGGACCATTACAAGTTGACGATTACAATCATAGGTACATACTAACTCTACAGTGCGACCTAACAAAGTTCGTTGAAGCCTATCCCTTGCAGCGCAAAGACGCCGAATCGGTAGCGAGAGCTTTTGTAAATAATTTTATCCTTAGATATGGAATCCCAAAAGAAATAATTACAGACCAGGGAACAGAATTTCTTAACGAAATTATGACCGAAATATGTAGCTTATTAGGTATTAAAAAATTACAGTCCACTGCATATCACCATGAAACTATGGGATCGTTAGAAAATACTCACAAACATCTCGGCACTTTTCTAAGAATACAATGTGAGAGTCACAAAAGCAATTGGAGTAGTTGGGTTCCGTACTGGTGTTTCTCATTCAACACCTCGGTACACACGCAAACAAAATATACTCCCTACGAGCTAGTGTTTGGAAAAAATTGTATTTTACCTAGTAACTTAAGTGACTCTGTAACTCCCTTATATAACTATGATGACTATCCTAAGGAACTTCGACATAGACTACAAAGAGCACTGTGTGATGCGCGAAAAAAATTATTAACTAATAAATTATGTAGAAAAACTACATTTGATAAAAATAGTTACCCGATAACATATAAAAAAGGAGATTTAATTTTGGTAAAAAATCAAATAAGAGATAAGTCAGATAGAGTGTATAACGGCCCTTATGAAGTAATAGAGGAATTGTCACCTAATGTAAAGATATTAAAAAATAATAGAGAGTACGTAGTACATAAGAATAATACGAAACTTTATAATGATAATATTTAGCTGAATGTATGTGGTTGAAAAAAAAATGTAACACTTTTTTTTTCTTTTTTGAGGAGAGGGGTGTAATGGAGATTTTTGGGGGGCGTGTGATAGTATGAAAATAATTTAATAAATATGTATTAATAATACAACGCAACATTGAATGACACGAAAGTAGGCCACGTGAAATGCTGATGTTTTGTAATAATATTGTGTGTTATATTTTATAAGTGTGTGTGTGTGTAACTACGTAGTGCACTAATATTATAAATAAGTATGTTTTGTACCATTAAGCCTTCTTCAATAAATGGACACCAACCTATCTACGTCTTTGTATTTATTATAACCTGCCGCTATCACCCAACATACCACAATATACATAGTCAGGTCATAAGTATTGTCACACAGTAAAAACTTTTCTTTTAGAATGCTGGCCACAAAAAAGTTTATTGAATTCGAATTTCGAATTGTTCATGAAAATAAAAATTTATACTTTTTAGAATTTTACTCATTTTTAAATATGGAGTGGACGCTTAAAGAAGACCGTGTTGCAGTTATTGCGTTGCATCGTTACGGTTACGCGTCAATTCAAGTTTTTGACATAGTGAAAATTTTTAATATAGCCAAAAGATTCGTTTATCGTACCATCAAACCATACAATGAAGACTCTAGTGTATACAATGAAGACTCTAGTGTAGATGACAGGTCAAGAAGTGGTCGCCCTCGGTCTGTTAGGACTCCAGCAGTGATAAAAGCTGTGAAGGCGCGAATTCAAAGAAATCCCAAACGTAAGCAGAAGGCCCTTCAGATGGGGTTAAGCAGAACCACGGTGAGAAGGGTGTTAAATGAAGACTGAGGGCTTCGGGCATATCAAAGAAAAACAGGACATCGTTTCAATGCTCGTCTAATGGACCTGAGACTGAAGAGATGCCGCGCTTTGTTGAAGCGGTACGCAGGAAAAAATATCGGGAAATTCTTTTTTCGGATGAAAAAATTTTTACTGTCGAAGAAAGCTACAACAAACAAAATGATAAGGTGTACGCACACAGTAGTGAAGAAGCGAGCAACTGTATTCCGCGTGTCCAACGAGATCATTTTTCATCCTCGCTCATGGTATGGTTGGGAGTTTCTTATTGGGGCTTAACAGAGGTACATTTTTTTGAGAAAGGTGTATAAACGAATGCAGTTTTGTATCAAAATACAGTCCTGACGAACCTTGTGGAACCTGTTTCTCATACCATGTTCAATAACAGGCACTTGGTATTCCAACAAGATTCGGCGCCAGCTCATAGAGCGAAGAGCACACAGGACTGGCTTTCGGCGCTTGAAATCGATTTCATCCGGCACGACTGGCCCTCCTCCAGTCCAGATTTGAGTCCGTTAGATTACAAGATATGGCAACACTTGGAGGAAAAGGCGTGCTCAAAGCCTCATCGCAATTTGGAGTCATTCAAGACATCCTTGATTAAGGCAGCCGCCGATATTGACATGGACCTCGTTCGTGCTACGATAGACGACTGGCCGCGCAGATTGAAGGCCTATATTCAAAATCACGGAGGTCATTTTGAATAAACTTTATTGTCATAAGAATCTATGTTTTGTTAAGTTCATTTTGGTATATAAATAGTTACATAATGAATAAACTTCTTTCAATTATTTAATTCCAACATAGAGTGACATGGAATCGAACTTGGAACGCATAGAGCACCGCCTCCGTGTTTCTTTACCAGAACAAGAACTGAGGCATAGAAAGAGTTTAAATTCAACTCATGAACTCGACTCATATAGTTATCTTATTTTAGACCACAAAGGGACAAATATATGTTACTATGAACTGCAAGCGTACCACTATCATCATCATCATCAGCCTATTAATGTTCCCACTGCTGGGGCACAGGCCATCATAAACAGTCATATTTTGATGTATCAGTAAAAACATAGATGTTGACTCAAAATCAAGAACTTTTTCTTCATCTATTATATAACGAGGCTGTAGTTAGCCTCCTGACAAAACATCCAAGCAATTGGCAAGCAAACGATATTTAATTTTGTTGTGTTTTTGTTAGTGAGTATTAAGGCTCCACGTAGCTGGGGATTGAATTAGAGCGCGAGTGGATACTGTACGGGATTGCTAGCATCTATAGATAGTAGCAAACACATCAACTCGGAAAAAATCTTCACCGGATCAACTCGAGCGGTTCAGTACTCTTTGTATAAAACTACCTTCTGTAAAGCTGGGTCACCAGCAAGGTTTGTTGAAAACATTCAACAAAAATACGTACACAAAACTTTGTTTCTGAAACATGTTTCTTTACATACGCCGTCTACTGCTCACGTGGCTGGCGCGCACGAAATACACAGGGCTACGTTCAAAAACTACGATACAGGTGTAACAAATGTCAAAGTTTAGTACATTTTATGTCAAAATTGAAACGTCAGAGTGAAAAGTTATACTCGTAGCGTAGGTTTGGAACAGAGCCCCCTCTAGCGAGTTGTCTAATAACCCTCGGATTTTTGTAAATGTTTCCCATCGGGCTCGGAAAGCAAAAACATTGTTGATGCAAAACAAATATGTGTAGTGAAACAAAATTTTTGTGTGAGATGGTTTTGTTTAATGTTGACGTATTTTTGATGATAGTGTAGGGCAAAAACACGTGCTGAAGACGTTAAGTACACTAATGGGAATCGTAACGTTATTGCGTTGCCTCAGGACATGGTTTTCTTCGGTGTAGAGCATAGTTTCGGCGTTCGTGAAATTATTATATCTAATAAACCCTTCGTGAAATCTCATCTAATTGATTGTTAAAAACCGCATGAAAATCCGTTTAGTACCTAGTTTAGTCGTTTTGAAATTTTGGTTTTGGAATAACGAAAGTTGCAATTTAATCTATTAAGATTTTGCCAGAAAGCCACGTTCAGTAGGACACTATTTAAAAAAAAATGGATTCGTGTAACTTATGTACGCGCGTGAGAAGTTATACTTCTTTAGCATCATTAAAAATATTTTATTAATAATTACAATAAAATAATAAAAGGACTGGAAAAGGATAGTTAACACAGTCAATTAAGTTCAGTTTTAATTTGAAAAATTAAATAAATATTCAAAATATTCAATTAAAATCACTACTGAATTTAAGTTATTAGTCCATATGTAATTAGCACTTGTAAGTAACTAAAACACGTTGTGTCTATATAGAAACTAGAAACATGTAAACACTGTTTTCATATTATAAATATGAAAACAGTGATCAGAGGCGACGAGCGTGCCAACATTGTTTTTGACAACGCGATCATCTTATGGAGCTCCGTGGATTGTTCAAAGTACCTTTCGAACAAACACTAACATTCATAACGCGCCCGCGGCCAACTTCATGGTGTTACTTTTCTGTTACAGTGTTGCGCGCGCATCTTAAAATTTCACTCTCATCATGTTTTCATAACGCGCCCGCGGCTAACTTCATTATGTTACTTTTGTGTTACAGTGATGCGCACGCATCTTAAAATTTCACTCTCATAATTTTTTCATAACGCAGCTAAAGAAGTATAACTTCAAAAATACATAAATACATCGAGCCATTATGATTTGGCAAGCAAAGAAACTAATCGGGCTACTGTTAAAATAACGTATTCTTTTCCACCAGGAGCTGAGACCGGAGGTGCGTTTCTTGGAGGACACGAAGCGCTCAAAATATGACCCGCTATTCCCAGAAGTTGAGGAGATGTTGGGACCCACAATCACACAGCAGCCCTGCACGCTCGTGTGGCGGGACCTAAGCGTACACGTCAAATTAAAGGGAGGCAGTCTGAAAAGGCTAGTTAATAATGGTAAGTAGTTAACAAACATGTACATTAGTAACAACTAAATAAAACTACTATTTAAACGCTTTAAAATGCATGTACGGTACTAGTATTAAAAACGATTTTTAAACCCGTTTAAAAGTAGTTTTATTTAATGAGTGGTGTGCATGAAAACATAAGAAATAAACATGTTATATGTTATGCTTCGGATTTTGAACGCCCCCATGAGAAAGTCTACATAGTCTTTCAGAAGAAACAGGTCTATCTCACCAAGCATGTTCCGAATTAGTCTTTGTTTTTTTACGACGCATCATAAAGGTCACTAAGCCTTACAGGAGGTGCAGTTTTCTATAGCCTCGCAAGTAACATTAGTAGCATAACTTCCAAGTAACATTATTCCTGCAGTATGCAAGAATTGAGCAAGAAGCGAAGGGGAAATAAAGAAAGTTCATTGAGGCCGTAAAGTTCAGATTCCAGAGCGACACCTATCTTTATAGCATTATCTTTATCTTCATCGGAATGATATGTTAAGTGTTAACACCAGGCGGAGTTATTTACTCTACATCCTGCATCTTTGATTGGCTCTTTGAAAAAAACTCAAAAAAGTTCAAGCCACGACTTGCAAACATTCTAACTATAATAGAATGCAGAGTTGCAGCGCCTTATTGCGTTTTGAGAATGTTTTCGCAGTATATGTGATCATTCACATAGATTTGTTCTAAACATGTGCAAATAACAAAAGAAGACTTAGTTAAGAAAAAGCTTTTAGTTAGGAAATTATATGAAAGCAAATGCTATGTTGCGGTACGAAAAACCTGAAAGTATTACGCCCTATATTAACCTAAGACTAGGTAAGCAACGTTTTGTTTCTGTACATCGAATTAAAAATAAAGATTTAGTGATGTGAACAAAACGCTACATACCTAGTGCAAGTTTGATGGGCATCTTATTAAAATAAGGGGCTAGTTTTTCGTTAAGAACGACACAAACAAAACGATAGGAGCTTGGGATAAGTTGCATTAACAAGTATTAGTACCTAATAAAAACGCCAGTGGATTAGTTGGAAAATTCTATAGACAGTTTTACATATGTTGTAGAATGTAAATTTTCATGTTACACATACCATAAAAGCGAAAAACATGAGGTTTCGGCCAATCGCACAGATCTAACCGATTACAGTATGTAAAACAGTGATAAAATTTAAAATTTAAATACTTTTTATTGCCCTATTGACAGGATTTTTCAAAGAATTAAGCTCAAGGCATGTTGTTACAATTCAACAGCCGGTTCTGATATCTGATTAAGAAAGATTAAAAGGTTGAGCTACATTCTACAAATACTAGTAAAAACCATTATGATTCTCTTGTTGAAACAATAAATTGATTGGTTTTAGAAATAAACCCACATATAGAATATTAATGTGTTTTTTATATAATATTTTTTGTCGGCAGTGAACGGTATTGCAAAACCCGGAACGCTGGTGGCTTTAATGGGACCCAGGTGAGCTTAATAAATCATCTTTCTTTTATACCTAATCGGTGTTATATATGTGGATAAAACTCAACAATGATTCTCACTAGCTTTACTGGACAGAGCATTCGCCAGGAAAGCGAAAGATGCAGGTTCGTACCCTGACTAAAAAATCTTTTTCAAGTATTTTTTTCTATAAAAATCTAGCAGTTAATTTCGTAAGTAATTATTTTCAGTTTCACAATCTCAGTAATGGATTATCGCTGGTAGCTATCAGGTGAAAAATCGTCGTCATCATCTGTCTGTTCTTAATTTGAGTGGAAATAATCTAATTTATCTTCTTATGCTGGGACCACACCGCGATAACGCGGAGATTCCTGTTGTCGCGATTTATCCAGCAGAGACATTCGTTCTATTGCGAATGTTTAGTCGACAAAAAAGTCTGCCCGTCGCTGTTGGGAAATCGGTGCGCATCAGGTTATTATCGCGATAAAATCCGTAGAGTTGGCTACACTTCGCGGGCTATGTTGATAGCGAGACTTTATTATGAATGAATGTAATATTTAATAATATTAATTAGAATTAATAGCAAATTATGAAAAAGAACCAGTTTTGTGGAATCTTCCAAGAGCTAAACCAAACCATTTTCCTGACCTTTTCCAAATTTCGTATTATTTCCAATTCCTTTTTTCCTAATCCGTTTCCTCAATTATTTTCTTTATGTTGGCTGAACGCATAAATCGTGCTTGCCACAAAAAAGAAAAAAAAACACTTTCCCGGCTAAATTAACGCGATGTTTTGTTCTAATGCGACGTTGCGATGTTTGTTTCAAATGCGGTCAGTGCGCGTTATTATAGATCGAAGTTTTTATCACGTAGCTTTAGCATTATGTTATCCTGTTCCGCACATCGTCACCTGCGCTTATCTCGACATCAATTTCAAGTTTTAGCCATAATAGGTATCATGTTTGACACACTACAAGAATTAAAGCAAAATGTTTTAATGATCCGTTGAATTTAGTATCGGATTACTACTAATTAATTAGGTATGAATTCATAATATCAGGAGACCTTATCAATATTGCGGTCAGATAGAAACGCGAGTATATCAGACTCGTTCTATTGGAATCATATCTATAGGTGATCAACATTCGGTCGCCGGTTTTAGCTTACGTGGTCTGACTAGACCCAACAGCTGAGGTTACTCTTTTTGCGGTTAATATGGACTTTCCTGATAGGACCTACATAAGTAACATACAAAACGGAAGTGTATAGGAGTTACTTGAATAAAGAAAATCCATATAAAACTGTCCAGATTTTTTTGGGAAAGGTACAGGTGTAGGTTTGGGTAATCGCATTAATCGCAAAGTCTTTCTATGAACCAATAAGAGAGGTCTTTAAATACTTACCTAATCAATGAATTCCCGTAAATTATGATAAAAATGCCAAATAAGAGGGAGAAGAAAACCTTTTGCCGTAGTATCATCAACTCCTAGTTGATAACACCTATGTTAGCGTAAATTTTCTTAAGCAACTTTATTATAGGTATACATATATTTTAACTGACTATATTGTTTCAGTGGTGCAGGAAAAACTACATTAATGTCAGCTTTAGCTCATAGAAGCCCAGGTAAGCACATTTTTTTTATATATAATGGCGCGATTACATTTGGTTGCTAGCCCGAATACGAGTGCCAATGGAATTCGGGTAAACGACTGAGTAAAGTTAATGAACGGAGTCAACTACACCCGTTTTCGGATAGATTTCCTATTGTTTACCCGACACCGTTTTCCAGCCCGTATTCCAGTGTAAATATTGCTCCGGGTGCCCGAATGAGGGCTACCGTTTTCTGCCTCACCAGATGGCGCCACTGTTGAGTGAGGTCCTAAATTGTAACTTTTAAAAGTTTATTAATACGCACATGAAATCAAAGGTTACATTTAGATCGTATTTTAACACAAAAGAACCATATCCTAAACATAATAGGCCATGCCACAGTGACGCGCAGTTCCGTTTTATTCGGAAAAAATGGGAACATAATCATTTTTCTAAGCTCAAATTTTTAATAACTGACATTCATTGCCACGTGACTTATATTAAGCCGAATTGTTACCAATTATTCACAACATTATTTTAATTAGAAATAAACCCGCGTAGTCAACCAACAAGCAATAACATAAAGCTTTGATGAAATCTGAATGGTTATTGAGCTATTATGTCTATAACAAATCCTACCAAAAGCATAATATGTTCATGTAAAGTGTTGCAAAGACGAGACCATATGACTCGCCCTGTCGAAAAGTTATCAGATCTCATATAATGAAAAGCCAACCTTTTAACTCTACACACCCTAACTACAAGGCCTAACTTCACAAACTCTACACCTCAGGCGAAATATGTGGGTTAGCCATTTCGCTACATTACAATACAATACATACAAAAACTCTATAATGTACACCACGAAAAACATTGAACATTAAGCACAAAACCATCTAGTACAAGAAGTGATGTAATGGGCGGCCTTATCGCTTAAAGCGATCTCTTCCAGGCAACCATACAAATAAATAAAACATTCGTGAGCGTAAGGTGAAAAATGTATCCACTGTTCATTACTTTTCTATTATACCATAGTTTCTGTGGTAACTAAGTTGTAACTTAAACAACTTTCGCAAAGGTCAGTCATAGGATGAGTGGCCAAACAATACTGACTCGTTAATAATTGTGCGTTGGAAGACATTAAGCTTTTGGTCCTGGCTATATTTGCTGTCGTTAGCACTACAGAATACAGAAAGAGGTTAGAATGGCCTTATGGGCGGGGCAAGCGCGCCACAGTAATGTGTGTGCAAATGCTTATAACTTCAACAAAACTTTGTTCTGATTGCACCGTTGCTCTCGGGTGTGATTGCTGATTGGTTCGATTGTTTGATGTCGCGTCGTTTGATTGGCTATTATCTATTAGTTGGAACTGTAGTGGGGGCGCGCCGGCGACATCGGTTCCCGTACAAACGGTTTATGATCACACTTCTAACCTCTTTCTGTGTTCTGTGGTTACCACCCACCAATCCGCACTAGTAGTAGTATTAACTTTATTAATCAAAATTTAAAATTTAATATAATTAAATTACCTATAAGGAAACCTAAAAGGAGTAAACTATACTGTATTTTTAAGTTTGTACTTTGTATTTGTTTCTTGGGTTTTCACGCACATCACTCATTAAATAAAATTAATTTTAACGGGTTAATGCACGAACTTTATTTATTTATTGACGTTTCGCAGCCTTTTCGAGTCTGCATCGTCAGAATAATGCTTATTTTTTATTTACTTTGTCGAGCTACCTTCGAAAGACTTTTATTGAGCGTTCAGATATTTCATTGGAAGATTTTTAAAACTTTATTGTCTATGTATAAATTTATTAGTTAATAAAGTACTTTATTTTAAATTCTTTTTTGTAATTTTGAGTTTATTTATTTGACCCTAACTACCGTAAACTACCACCGGTTCCAAAATTGGGAGACCTTTCTGAGAAGAACCGACGAAACACGAAAGAAAGCCTCTCTGAGTTTGTTTCGCCGGTTCTTTTAAAGTTTAAACTGACTGACTGATTTGTACACGTCTGACGATACCAATCCGCGCTGGGCCCGCGTGGTGGCTCATGGCCCAATCTTCCTATTCCATCCATAGGGAAGGTCTGTTCCCCAGCAGTGGGGACATTAATAGGCTGATGATGATGCTGATGATTCTGAATCTGAATTTTTTTTTCCCCTATTTGGCTATCTAGTATCCATATGTGGTTATGGGTAGTCATACTCTCTTAAAAATCTCTTCGGCGGTGTCGTGTGAGGCGGGTCGTTACGTTCCCTAAAAAATGGTTGAGCGAAGCGATGGCTGGTTCATGCGTCATGCTCGTGAACGGGTGCTGCCAGCGGAGATGAGTCTGCTCTTGCTACATTGGGTACTATTAATCGTTGTATTTAACTTTAATGGTACATTTGTTTTTATGCCTAAACAGTGGGACACGGCATTCCTAAACTTTTTTTCATTTTTAAATCTGTTTTTTATATTTTTTATTTTATAGTCATAATTGTTTTATCATTTACATTTGTAATGGAAAGTGACTTCATGGGTTATCTCATATTGAACTCATTTTTCAAATTGACGACTCTGTATATAATACAGGGAGAAAAAAACAGCCCTTGCTGAGTTTCTTGCCGGTTCTTCTCAGTACAAGGTCTCCCGCCGTAGATTTGCGAACCGATGGCGTAGCTTTTCGACATTCACAAGTGCTTGTAACAGCCTAGACTGAATAAATGATATTGAATTTTGAATTTTGAATTCTGACGATGCAGACCTAAAAAGGCTGCGAAAAGACCGTTAAAACTAGTTTTATTTATACTTTGTTTTAATACAGTTTTTTTATACTACGATAAATATACCATTTCAAGCCTATTGTTGGTGACTTATTTTATTTAACACCATCTACCGACTCTTCCTTTTCGTTTAATCAAAAAGAATGCAAGCGTTAAAATCACGAAACGAAAATTTCATTTTATATTATCCCGTCCACACTAATGAGATAATTAGTTATACTAATTTTAGAACATCTCATATCCAGTAACATCGAACTGCTTCATTTATAAAAGATGTAACGAGTCAGTCTTAAGCAAACATAAAAAGTCTGATCAAAACAGTTTTAGATTAAGCTGTAATTTATTCAGACTTAATTGGAGTACCCATCTCACTTTACGCTATTAATATTTTATTAATTATCATCGTAACTTACGATAATTAGCAGTTTAATGACGACGTATTAAATTTAATTATTAACAGAGCAGTTATGGAGCATATATAACATAATGTTGTGAAATCATGAGTGACTAAAGTCATCATCAATTAGGAAAACGTGAACTAAAGCAATCAACACACATCACTCATTAAATAAAACAAGCTATTAATGCGTTAGTTCGAGCTACCTTCGAAAGACATGAAGCTCGACAAAGTAAATAAAAAATCATTATTCTGACGACGCATTCCTGCAAAGGATGCGAAACGGCAATAAATAAATAAGTTCAGTACCCCTAGCACGAACTATTATCGAATTCGAATAGTTTGCAAACCGAATGTCAATGTCAAATTTTGTATGGAAACTTGATCAGCAGCGGCACAAAGTACGTAACGAGAACTAAAAATCAGTACACATTTGACAATGACATTTCGGGCTCGCAAACGATACGAATTCGATATTGGTTCGTGCTTGGGGTACAGTACACCTAACCCGTTAAAAGCTGGTTTTATTTAAAGCAATCAAAGCTATATTTTATATATTTCAAAATGTTTGCTAACATTGAAAAGTAAAAAAGCAGTGCTATGTTATGATAACTATGACGTACTTACTATTTAACATATTGTCTTTAGCATATTGAATTATCATAAACATAATCTAACTTATTATTTTAATGAAATATCTACAATTGAATCGATTATATTTTGATAAATCGATACGGATGTGACAAAATGGCAACACCGAGGAGACAAGTGTCAACTAATACAAGTGTAATGGAAGTGAATTAATTACTAATTCATTATAGGAATATTTGTTCGTCGAAGTTATGGCTTATTATTTAACATGGTGTAGTGAAAATGAAATACATGATTTTTGAAATAATTTTGGTGAAAGTACTTGGCCGACCAAAGACGATACTACCAATGGGAAGGGAAGTCTCCTTTGCATGAATTTATTAAAAAAAAGCATAAAAAGGAGGAACATTAAGAAACACTCTAAAAGTAACGTCAATAGTTTCTCTTAAAAAATATTTAGTTTCGATTATATTTTGAATTAAGATTATTTTTTCTATTCTACCTAATAAAGAAATTATTTTGGCTAAGGTAGGTAGGCTGCATATTATTTAGTTTCTATTAGAAATAAAATTAAAAAAACTCTTTGATGGTGGAATGAGAATCATTCAACTCCAAGAAAATATAGAGAACTCACTATACTCACATATGTTTTATCTTTTTTTATTATTTTTGTTTATTAAACTTCAGCATAATCAAGAATCGGGAAAGTGGTTTGTCCAAAAAAAATCCTTTGCCTTTATTAATAAACACGTAACACACTTCCTTAAGATTACGAATACAACAAAAAACCATTAGGCATGGCCGATAATTTTTAGAACAAAATATTAAAAACAGGATGAATCCCATTTTAAAAGGAAGAGACAAACTTTTTTTTAAAACATCTATTTTGAAGTGAGTTCTTTCAATTGAAAATAATGTTCATGTTCATAGATATAATCTCAAAATTAGAAGTAAAATCAAATAACTATTTATAAATATTTTTAATAAAAGAACAGAGCGTGTATGGCATATAAAAAGCAAAGATTTTACCAAATTTTGTGCAAGCAAAAAGTTTATTTTTATTTTCCATAGATTTTTTTAGCTCTTGTGAAAAGCTTAATAAATACAAAAGATCTTATAAATACCCACAACTCTTTCATAAATTTTTTTCGCTAGCTGTTTTAGTTTTCCCTAAAAAAAGGATACACCGTACTTATTTTTGTAATGTGTTCTATTCCTTTTAAAAAAGGTTTGATCCTGTTCTATTTTTTTTTTACTTTTTAGGCTTTAGTCAAAAAGACATTAGCTTAATCGCTCAATGGGTTCTTAAGTGATGCTGCATCATAGGTACATGTGACGTTAATTTTGTTTTTATATAGGTAGGTACTTACTTATAGAACAGAACCCATATGTATGATGTCATAATATAGAGTAGAGATAGATATATAGAGAGTAACACGGTCACGACTCAGTGGGTTCGTGTAGCTCTATGTTTCATAGAAAAAAAAATATGTTTTGTTTTTTCTAAACCGTCTTTTCCAGTCTTTTCCAAAAAACCCCTCTTAAATCCCCCTATTTTTTAGGTTACTTAGCTAGTAGCCGCTCACATAGTTGTAACGTAAAATTTTAGCAAAAGAAAATTTTACTAGAGTCGAGTCGAGTCTTCTGCCTGGAACGCATGGAATTTTTCTATTAAAATTTTCTTTAGATTGAAACATCTAGCAGTTAAATACTTGTAAAATAAAAAAAAGTATTGTTTCGCTAGAAAAGATGGCTCAATACCCAATACGTTAAGAAAACCTAAAAAAAAGTGGGCATGTGAAAATAAAACCCGTCTTTCATTTCCACCCTAAATTTGGGGTAAAAACCCCCTAATTTGGTGACTCTGTACTTTTTTTTTTAATTTATATACAGTGGGAACTGTGGTGGATGGTGAGATCGCAATGAACGGACATCCCGTGGGAGACTTCATGCATCGGGAGAGCGGCTACATGCACCAGGACGAGTTATTCGTGGACAACTTGACCGTCATCGAGCATCTCACCATTATGGTAAACATACAATATACTTTCTTATATTTTTATTTTAAGCATTTATCTGCTATATGTTTAAATAACCAAAATATCTACAAGAAAAAATCCAGTAGTAGATTTTCTTTAGATAATATACATCATAAAGAAAATATAACTAGAAAAAATTCCACGCGGACCAGGCAGCAGACGGGACTCGAACCCGCACCCTTCGCAATCCGGGCGAATGCACTGACCAATTATGCTACCGCGGCCCTCACGGACCGCGTCGAAATTCTTTCTAGCTATTCTTAAGCTGCAAGGCAGCGCCATCTCTTCGCATTATAGGTAAACCCACAATGTCAAATGAATACTTTTACAAGTATTAAACATTTGAAAGAAGAAATAGCAATTATAGTTATAATTTTTATTATTTTTAAAGCATGTAACTGCTTGATGTTTAAATCTAAAGAAAATATAACTAGAAAAAATTCCACGCGGACCAGGCAGCAGACGGGACTCGAACCCGCACCCTTCGCAATCCGGGCGAATGCACTGACCAATTATGCTACCGCGGCCCTCACGGACCGCGTCGAAATTCTTTCTAGCTATTCTTAAGCTGCAAGGCAGCGCCATCTCTTCGCATTATAGGTAAACCCACAATGTCAAATGAATACTTTTACAAGTATTAAACATTTGAAAGAAGAAATAGCAATTATAGTTATAATTTTTATTATTTTTAAAGCATGTAACTGCTTGATGTTTAAATCTAAAGAAAATATAACTAGAAAAAATTCCACGCGGACCAGGCAGCAGACGGGACTCGAACCCGCACCCTTCGCAATCCGGGCGAATGCACTGACCAATTATGCTACCGCGGCCCTCACGGACCGCGTCGAAATTCTTTCTAGCTATTCTTAAGCTGCAAGGCAGCGCCATCTCTTCGCATTATAGGTAAACCCACAATGTCAAATGAATACTTTTACAAGTATTAAACATTTGAAAGAAGAAATAGCAATTATAGTTATAATTTTTATTATTTTTAAAGCATGTAACTGCTTGATGTTTAAATCTAAAGAAAATATAACTAGAAAAAATTCCACGCGGACCAGGCAGCAGACGGGACTCGAACCCGCACCCTTCGCAATCCGGGCGAATGCACTGACCAATTATGCTACCGCGGCCCTCACGGACCGCGTCGAAATTCTTTCTAGCTATTCTTAAGCTGCAAGGCAGCGCCATCTCTTCGCATTATAGGTAAACCCACAATGTCAAATGAATACTTTTACAAGTATTAAACATTTGAAAGAAGAAATAGCAATTATAGTTATAATTTTTATTATTTTTAAAGCATGTAACTGCTTGATGTTTAAATCTAAAGAAAATATAACTAGAAAAAATTCCACGTGGACCAGGCAGCAGACGGGACTCGAACCCGCACCCTTCGCAATCCGGGCGAATGCACTGACCAATTATGCTACCGCGGCCCTCACGGACCGCGTCGAAATTCTTTCTAGCTATTCTTAAGCTGCAAGGCAGCGCCATCTCTTCGCATTATAGGTAAACCCACAATGTCAAATGAATACTTTTACAAGTATTAAACATTTGAAAGAAGAAATAGCAATTATAGTTATAATTTTTATTATTTTTAAAGCATGTAACTGCTTGATGTTTAAATCTAAAGAAAATATAACTAGAAAAAATTCCACGCGGACCAGGCAGCAGACGGGACTCGAACCCGCACCCTTCGCAATCCGGGCGAATGCACTGACCAATTATGCTACCGCGGCCCTCACGGACCGCGTCGAAATTCTTTCTAGCTATTCTTAAGCTGCAAGGCAGCGCCATCTCTTCGCATTATAGGTAAACCCACAATGTCAAATGAATACTTTTACAAGTATTAAACATTTGAAAGAAGAAATAGCAATTATAGTTATAATTTTTATTATTTTTAAAGCATGTAACTGCTTGATGTTTAAATCTAAAGAAAATATAACTAGAAAAAATTCCACGCGGACCAGGCAGCAGACGGGACTCGAACCCGCACCCTTCGCAATCCGGGCGAATGCACTGACCAATTATGCTAATTATGCTACGCGGTAGCATAATTGGTCAGTGCATTCGCCCGGATTGCGAAGGGTGCGGGTTCGAGTCCCGTCTGCTGCCTGGTCCGCGTGGAATTTTTTCTAGTTATATTTTCTTTAGATTTAAACATCAAGCAGTTACATGCTTTAAAAATAATAAAAATTATAACTATAATTGCTATTTCTTCTTTCAAATGTTTAATACTTGTAAAAGTATTCATTTGACATTGTGGGTTTACCTATAATGCGAAGAGATGGCGCTGCCTTGCAGCTTAAGAATAGCTAGAAAGAATTTCGACGCGGTCCGTGAGGGCCGCGGTAGCATAATTGGTCAGTGCATTCGCCCGGATTGCGAAGGGTGCGGGTTCGAGTCCCGTCTGCTGCCTGGTCCGCGTGGAATTTTTTCTAGTTATATTTTCTTTAGATTTAAACATCAAGCAGTTACATGCTTTAAAAATAATAAAAATTATAACTATAATTGCTATTTCTTCTTTCAAATGTTTAATACTTGTAAAAGTATTCATTTGACATTGTGGGTTTACCTATAATGCGAAGAGATGGCGCTGCCTTGCAGCTTAAGAATAGCTAGAAAGAATTTCGACGCGGTCCGTGAGGGCCGCGGTAGCATAATTGGTCAGTGCATTCGCCCGGATTGCGAAGGGTGCGGGTTCGAGTCCCGTCTGCTGCCTGGTCCGCGTGGAATTTTTTCTAGTTATATTTTCTTTAGATTTAAACATCAAGCAGTTACATGCTTTAAAAATAATAAAAATTATAACTATAATTGCTATTTCTTCTTTCAAATGTTTAATACTTGTAAAAGTATTCATTTGACATTGTGGGTTTACCTATAATGCGAAGAGATGGCGCTGCCTTGCAGCTTAAGAATAGCTAGAAAGAATTTCGACGCGGTCCGTGAGGGCCGCGGTAGCATAATTGGTCAGTGCATTCGCCCGGATTGCGAAGGGTGCGGGTTCGAGTCCCGTCTGCTGCCTGGTCCGCGTGGAATTTTTTCTAGTTATATTTTCTTTAGATTTAAACATCAAGCAGTTACATGCTTTAAAAATAATAAAAATTATAACTATAATTGCTATTTCTTCTTTCAAATGTTTAATACTTGTAAAAGTATTCATTTGACATTGTGGGTTTACCTATAATGCGAAGAGATGGCGCTGCCTTGCAGCTTAAGAATAGCTAGAAAGAATTTCGACGCGGTCCGTGAGGGCCGCGGTAGCATAATTGGTCAGTGCATTCGCCCGGATTGCGAAGGGTGCGGGTTCGAGTCCCGTCTGCTGCCTGGTCCGCGTGGAATTTTTTCTAGTTATATTTTCTTTAGATTTAAACATCAAGCAGTTACATGCTTTAAAAATAATAAAAATTATAACTATAATTGCTATTTCTTCTTTCAAATGTTTAATACTTGTAAAAGTATTCATTTGACATTGTGGGTTTACCTATAATGCGAAGAGATGGCGCTGCCTTGCAGCTTAAGAATAGCTAGAAAGAATTTCGACGCGGTCCGTGAGGGCCGCGGTAGCATAATTGGTCAGTGCATTCGCCCGGATTGCGAAGGGTGCGGGTTCGAGTCCCGTCTGCTGCCTGGTCCGCGTGGAATTTTTTCTAGTTATATTTTCTTTAGATTTAAACATCAAGCAGTTACATGCTTTAAAAATAATAAAAATTATAACTATAATTGCTATTTCTTCTTTCAAATGTTTAATACTTGTAAAAGTATTCATTTGACATTGTGGGTTTACCTATAATGCGAAGAGATGGCGCTGCCTTGCAGCTTAAGAATAGCTAGAAAGAATTTCGACGCGGTCCGTGAGGGCCGCGGTAGCATAATTGGTCAGTGCATTCGCCCGGATTGCGAAGGGTGCGGGTTCGAGTCCCGTCTGCTGCCTGGTCCGCGTGGAATTTTTTCTAGTTATATTTTCTTTAGATTTAAACATCAAGCAGTTACATGCTTTAAAAATAATAAAAATTATAAATATACATCATACTTCGTATTTCTTCATACATTATTACAACAACGGCTTTGCAGATTCTGGTAGAAGCAATGCTTGAAAATGCGTGTGAAAAAATATTTTAATAGATCTAAAATGAACTAGTTTTCAAACCATGAAATGATATTACTTCATACTATATGATAGCGTACGAAGGAATTATTTACAAATCACATTTTTAGTTACACCAAACATTATCTATAAAATTCAGCCATTGTCATGCATACATATCCCAATTTCTTGTTATTCACATAACAAAACAAAAAACGAAAACACTACAAATGGTAAGGACTGGAGTAAATACAAATGCGTTTAGATATCAAGTTGAAATTAATATCATTACTCTGGACTCTGCTCCCTTGGAGCAGTTAAAAAAAACTTCTAAATCAACGCAATCAAAAGATAAGGCATTTTATGATCCGTTTAAACCGCATATTTAGACGCTCGCATGGGAAAAAACCAAGAGACAAATCTAAGAATAATTTAAGAAAATCTCTCGCTCTAGAATGCTTAATCTACATTGATACGGCAGGCGATATAACCCTCGATCAGATCGGACTTGGAGATACAAATCTCATATTCAAGTCACTCGACCTCGGAGGTCGCCGAATGTCTACGATAATCGAAACTGCATTCTAATTTAATGAGATCGAATAATAAACCAGTTTGGCCTCATCGGCAGAAGAACGTCAGGGCTCAAATGACACTTTTACTCGAATTTCAAGTAACCGAACCTCAGTAACAAACCCGTATGAGTTTGTTATACCTATTCTTATATACGAATAGGTGTTTATTACGTAAACCATTAAGGGCGTTGAAGCGAAGACCACGTGCCGAAGAACTTAGCAATTACATTCTGTACACCCGTGCCAGTCTAATGTGTTCCCAAAAGAAGTTTTTCAATTACCAAATTGCAACTATAGTATTAATGAGTGAAGAATCAACACAGTGTTAATATGAATTCACACGAATATTATTTACTGATTCATTATAACATTTTGAGCTGTTGATTAGATCAAGGAACCTAGAAAGATTTGAAGATCAGGAATAATAAATAAGTGCATCGGTTGTTGAACAATACGTTTAAAATTTACGTTGTCTAAACCCAATAAGGTACTAAAACACTTAAAAATCGAATCCTGTCTAGAGCGTTACAAGAGCTATTGAAATATTTTCTTATCTTTTCTATGATTCAATTTGTCTGACGGATAAACACAAAGAAGTAAATTAACTTGTAAGAAACAATCATAACACCACATTCTCGGTACACCTTGATGGCGCAGTGGTCTGTGATCGTGGAGGTGAAGCACCTTTCCCCATAAAGCCAATCATCGCATGTGTGACGAAAAATTTATTATCTTGAGCTTCTGTGTTCTTCGGATTACACGTTAAGCCGTTGGTCCTGGTTGAATCTGCAATGAGTTCAAGTTTTCCTGGTGTGACCAAATTATAGACTCTGCAAAGTTATCGTGGATCGACATTATTCATCTTTTAGTACTTACTCACAGTAGATCATGTCGAAACTCCATCTTAGCCTCAATAAATAACCATTGTATCAAGTGAATGATTGGATTCTCAAATAAAATAAACAAGCATCTGTCGCAATAAGGATGACATATAGAGAGCCGACAAAGCAAACTGTGTCAAATAAAATTATCTAACTGCTTTCATCGCTGATTTAATGCGATCAACTTCGTAAACGACATGATCTTTTCTGTTACAGATAAGGAAAGCTATATATTATATCTACTTATGATAGTTCGCTACATTTTATTATTATCGAGGTCTGACTTTTAGAAGTTTGATTTGACTTAATTATTTGCTCGTACGTAATTAATAATTACTAGCAAACCAGTGAACCAAATGTTCACCAAAAAAAAAAAGTATTTAATTCATTGAGAACTTCGGGGATTTTGTGTGGTTTCGTTTGAAATAGAAATCACGTGATTTCTCGAAAACCGGAAGTGCTACGTTACTCACATCCGGTTTGTAGTCTTATCAGACTATTCTTAACTTATAACTTAAACATTCTCTATATCTATCTCTTACGGTTTGGCCGCTGAAACAGCACCACGGACGGACGGACGGACTTGTCTAATAGATAAGAGATGCTATCTTGAATATTCTTAATTTTTACACCCTCAATATATTAATCGATCAATAGTCTAGGTTTTCCAAATTCAAAGATAATAATAATACCTAATAGCTTTTTGTTTATTGTAGTGCGTGTACTGTGTGATATAGGAAAAAGTTTTTATACTACGTCCTCACAAAGTGCTCTATTCTTTAAAAAAAAACAATTCCCAAGCGAGAGTATTTCATATGTTAAATTAACTTTAAAACTTTAATTTAGTCTTTTATTTCCTCATTGGTACATTATAAAGCACTGTGTATCCCACGAAAAAAGTGCTATTTACAACTCGGGTAAATTAAGTAACTCACCCTCGTTGGTAATCGGCCATTTTCTCCTCTCTTTTATTAACAAAGTGCTATTATATTATCAGGGCCGCGGTAGCAAATGATCAGTGCATTCGCTCGGATAGCGAAGGGTTCGGGTTCGAATCCCGTCTGCTGCCTGGTTCGAGTGAAATTTTTTCTAGTGCTATTTTCTATAGATTAGCAGTTACATGCTTAAAATATAAAAAATATTACGATTATGCAATTTGCAATATTCATAAATGAATCTTCTACTTTCAAATATAGGCTCGACTGCGCATGGACCGACGCACTTCGTCATTAGCACGCAAGAGACGAGTCAACCAGCTCCTTCGTCAGCTGGCACTCTACGGAGCCAGGTTTACCCGTATCGGGGGTTTGGATGGCCGCAAGACGCTCTCTGGCGGGGAGAGGAAAAGGCTTGCTTTTGCTACTGAGGTATGAAAGACAGGACTATTATCATTTCGTACCATTTTTAATTCTAAGAGAAGATGGTTTGTGACTGTTGGTATATTAGCCATTATTTATTAAGAAGTTAAACAATAAATATAAAGCAATTTTTATGAAATAGACACTTTTTTGGGAAATTTCGAACCTTGGGCGTTAGGTTCTTTGTGCTTGAACATAAAAAAAATTTGAAATATTTGTTGGTGATTTCATTAACTCACCAAAATTCCCTTCAGAGTTAACAAGACAGAGCTCAAGCAGCCATTAACTTAGGGCGCGGCGGACACAGCGCATGCCCTAAGAGTCAATTATCAAGCACGGATTGTTAGCCAATGTCAAGTAAAAGCATTTCTATTTGAATTAGAAAAAACATATAAAAACGCATAGCGTGCGCAATTTGCTTTTGCTTTCGTTCAAGCCTGCCGGACTCTATATAGTTCTGCGATGAACCGACCACCAGTCTCATCTCTTAGTCCACGTAGAAGTTTATAGTAGATTAACAAACCTATGGAAACGCAATTTACAACTCACACCCTTACCTCCGTAGCTATTGACGGATCCCGGTCTCTTGTTCTGCGATGAGCCGACGACCGGCCTGGATTCTTCTTCGGCGCAGAAGCTCGTAGACTTGCTGCGAGCCAGCGCGGCGCAGGGGAAAACCATCATCTGTACAATACACCAGCCTTCGTCGGAGCTGATGGCTCTGTTTGATAGGCTGGTGTTACTCGCTGAAGGGAGGGTGGCGTTCGCTGGAAATTCTTCAGCAGCGCTCGGTTTTTTCGAGAGGTAGGCAGAATTAATATTTACTTAGCCCTTAATTTCTTTAAGGTTGTACAATATACCAACCTTCGTCGGAGCTGATGGCGCTGTTTGATAGGCTGGTGTTTCTTCCTGAAGGGAGAGTAGCGTTTGCAGGAAATGCTTCGGTGGAGCTTAATTTTTAAGAGAGGTAGACAGCTTGACGGAGATCATGGTTAAGAAGTCGGACTAATGAAAAAGAGAATAGCAATTAATTAAACGCTACTATTTTGTCCCACTCAAATCGTTCACACTTTTTATATTTTAAAGCTACCATGGATGATTGTAAAATTGCGCCCTGAACTGATTTTGATGCCAACTCCGGTGTTAACGGGGCTCTATTTTAAAACACGCTAGGATTAATATAAGCTCTCATCCTCTTTCACCTCTTTGAAACTTATTTTTTGCAAGAAAAAGTAGACTGGATCCTACTCTGCGGTAACTTATATTTCCATTCCGAAATTAATGAAAATCAGTTAAGTCTTATAAGCTTAACATAAGAAAGACTGACAGCTTCCGCATTAAGTAAAATATACTGTCTGAAGTCTGGGGGCTACTTAACAACTTTAACTCTTTTCGTTTTCCCTTTCAAAGCTAATTAAGAAAAGTGTCAATCCAATATTTAATTAGCTTGTAAACATCGATATAGGTAGTATCAGAGATAGTTTAATTTCATTTTCCCAAACTAACATTAACTTATTAACTCTAAATAACACAATGCAGAGAGAATGCAATTGTACTTGGTCGCAACAATGATCTGGAGCAGTGCACCCGGTGACCTCAATAGGACATCCTCGCTTCTAAGAATGGATTAACTCAAATTGATTCGTGATATGTAGTAATAAATAACAAGCTGTACCTACGTAGGATATAATAGAAAGGACAGTGAGAGAATAAAGGGTACCTAACGATTCAATCAACAGTTTTTTTGACGAACTTGACATGATTTCGATACCATCACCTTATAGGGCCCCAAATGTTTACTTTAATTAAGTTTCTTGATTTCCTAACTGATAATATATCGTACTTTTCTAGAGGTTTATAGTTTTGTCTGCCTGCAGTTGATTTTATGTTAACCCATTGATAAAATAAGATTAGATTTCCATTGCAATTAGAAAATTTTTCTAGTTTAATGTTGTTTTTATAGTTCAAGTTTTTATGGTGCGAAGGAAATGGGATTTCCTGTTTCCATTAAATTAATCCCGCAACATTTTGGTAACGTTTAATTAATCGAAATTATTTGTTTATATCCCAATTATTTTTATTATTTTGAAAATTGATGACATCATGTCGGTTCGGTATACGCAGTTTTACCTTTGTAACACAGCCCTTCAAATTGTAATGTATAAAATGTCTATCTAGATCCTGGCAAATAGCAAACCGTGAAAAACCGTGGCCAGTAGATGTGTCAATTTTGGAATTGGGTCCGAACTGGTCCAAAGAATTTTTTGTCAATCTTATAGGAATTTAACATTTTGGCCTGTTAATAGATGTTGATAATGTCCAATATTTGGGTTACATACTATGGGCTGAAGGTGATAGCGTCTTGAACTCCCTCTCGAAAATTAATCCAATAATCTAACTCCGTGTAATATTGTCCATAGCCTCGGCTACCACTGCCCCCTAACGTACAACCCCACGGACTACTTCATCAACGTGCTGGCGATGATCCCTGGCTCAGAGGCCGCCTCCAGGCAAGCGGTGAAGAGCATCTGCAACCGGTTTGCGGTCAGCGATGCGGCTAAGGAACTTGACATGGAGATCCAGCTGGAGTTCCACCTCATGGAAAACGTGATACAGGTACTCGCTAGATTCTAATTAGATTCTTTCGAACTGTGTAACCATTATCCATGATCACATCAATTACACAAGTGCACACACACGCACACGCGCTCGCATATAAACAATATAGCTGTAATGTACGAGTATTATGAAAACCTTTTAGATAAATATTTCTAATTATGTCTGTAATGCTGTCTCTAAGGTGGGCGCTAATAACTGTAGCACAGTTCTCGACTTGAGTCGTAGTACGATTATTAACTCAAATTATTTTTTTGTATACTTATCTTGGTTCTAAAATCATTATTGTTAAAATAAATGTAACATGGGATATTTTAAATGAAGCCTGCTTCTGTGATGAAAAAAAGAAAGGACTAGCTATTACACTGAGAATTTCGTTCAAGAATTTTAATGGGATTCCGTCTGACAGTGGACCAATTGCTGATTACAAAATGTTCAAGTCTTGCCAACAATTGCCAGATTCAGAACGCTATAAAAGTGTAGTGATAAACATGCTATTTTCGAAATCTTGCCAATCCATTTACAAATCTGGTTTAGTTAAAGTTGCGTTAAGTTGATCGATAGTCGGTAAAAATTAGACTTGCAACGAATAGTATATTCGGCAGTATACCAAATACCGAATATTCGGCAAGGCCCCTGACCGAATAGCCGAATATTAGGCAAAAGTATTCGGCTGGATTTTAGCGCCAAAAACTTGTACAGACGTGATTGTTTCGCGCTCCTTTGTTTGCAGTGCAATTCAGTCAAATGCAGTTTCAACAGAAATGGATCTTTTCTTAAATATTAGTAATATATCATTTCATGACAATGATTGAATTTCCGTGTTTGATTAAGATTGCAGCAAAATATTTGTCGGAGCCAGGAAGTAGTGTTTATTCAGGGCGCCTTTTCTCTGAAGCTGGAATGGTCTACAAGAAAAAAAGAAGTAAACTACTTCCTAAAAATGCAGAAAAGTTAGTCTTTCTGCACCATAACCTTCCCCTTCTAAATTTTGATTATGAAAATAATACAGATACATAGAAAAATTCTTAACTTGTTTAATACAGTAAATGATTAAATTATTTACTTGTTTTATGTACCAATGACTACTTAATAAATGATTATAAAAGAAATGAGAACCTTACCCTTCTAAATTTCGATTACCACAATAATTCAAATACATAGAATCCTCCATTTTTCCAATTCAGAAGATGATTATGTACCTGTGTTATGTACCAATGACTACTTAAATGATTATATATAACAGAAATGAAAATATGAATATATACGTAATCAATCAATTTTAATTTTTCATTTTACCAATTATTTCTCTATGACAAAATATATTATTTAAGTATTCGGTATTCGGCCGAATAGTAACCGAATATTCGTTGCAAGTCTAGTAAAAATGCATCTACTAACATAGTTTTAAATTTTAATTGTCACTAAGAGATATGAAATTGTAATTCTGTAATAAATTATTATTATTTAAACGAAGAAACATGAGTATGGCCAACTAGATGGTAAGCAACCGCCATAGTTATTCTTTGTAATCTGTGGCCTTCTAAGCATATAGTCTATACATGCGATACCATATACATATATGTAGCAAGGTAGCAACCTTGCCTACCCATTGGGATGGAAATGGATTACCCATACCCAACTCCGTAGAGGAGAGAACCTCGATAGCGCGGGTGGTTAGCGCGCTCGGCTGCGATCGTTGAAGTTAAGCAACTTTCGCAGTGGTCGGTCATTGGATGGGTGACCAAAAATCTTCTATCTCGAGTTCCTCCGTGCTTCGGAAGGCACGTTAAACCGTTGGTCCCGGCTGCATCTGCAGTCGTTAGCACCCGCCAATCCGAACTGGGCCTGTGTGGTGGGTCATGGCCTAATCTCCCTATTCCATTCATAGGGAAGGCCTGTGCCCCAGCAACTGGGACATTAATAGGCTGATGATGATGATGATGAACTCCGTAGAGCCCTAAAGCTTTAATTACCAACAGAAACACAACCAAGGTTTGCGATGCTTACTCCACAGTTGATAAATGATGCAAACTTCCTTACAGAAATCGCAGGAAGAAGCAATTGACAACTTTAAAGCTCCGTTCTTCTTCACGAAAATTGGGTGGCTGGTGTATCGATACTTCATGGTTATCATCAGGGATCCAAGAGTACAGTTCATAAGAATATTACAGAAATTGGTGAGTACCTGTGTTTTATTTAAATTTTTCGGTTGCTTCTTATCGCTTTTCGGTGTCTTACTGAAACAATTCGAAATAGTAAATATCTATAACTTAAACACTAAAACACAGTTTCCATTTTTAGTGGCCTCTGTTATGGAATTGAAAATAATGCAATTTGGTTTTTGGACTAAGGATTTTTGAAATAAATATTTCATTCGTTATAGTTAACTCACGCCATCATTATATTAAGCCTTGCTATTTCCTTGTTCTGTCTTGCTATTTTTCCCCATATTTTTTTTACATATTTTTGAAAATCGTAATTTCTTTTTTATGTCTAAACAGGACACGGGAATCCTAAACTTTGTAAAATCAGTTTTTTTAAATGTGTTGGTCATAATTTTTATATCGTTTACATTTGTAATGGAAAGTGACTGCATGAGTTATCTCATATTGAAGTCATTTTTCAATTTGACGACTCTGTATATATGAGTGCGTTTGACCACATCGATCACCTGATGTTAAGCAACGATGTGGTCTAAACTCTATTTCCTTGATAATAACTTTCCTTAACTCTATATTAATGTATCGGGGAATACTACTTAATCTCTTCGGCGGTGTCGTGTGAGACGGCTCGTTGCGTTCTCTAAAATATAGTTGAGCGAAGCGATGGCTGGTTTCTGCGTCATGCTCGTGCACGGGTGCTACCAGCGGAGATGAGTCTGCTCTTACTACATTGGGTACTATTAATCGTTGTATTTAACTTTAATCGTACATTTTTGTGTGCCTAAACAGTAGGACACGGCATTCCTATGCTTTATAATTTTTATTATTTTTAAAGCATGTAACTGCTTGATGTTTAAATCTAAAGAAAATATAACTAGAAAAAATTCCACGCGGACCAGGCAGCAGACGGGACTCGAACCCGCACCCTCCGCAATCCGGGCGAATGCACTGACCAATTATGCTACCGCGGCCCTCACGGACCGCGTCGAAATTCCTTCTAGCTATTCTTAAGCTGCAAGGCAGCGCCATCTCTTCGCATTATAGGTAAACCCACAATGTCAAATGAATACTTTTACAAGTATTAAACATTTGAAAGAAGAAATAGCAATTATAGTTATAATTTTTATTATTTTTAAAGCATGTAACTGCTTGATGTTTAAATCTAAAGAAAATATAACTAGAAAAAATTCCACGCGGACCAGGCAGCAGACGGGACTCGAACCCGCACCCTTCGCAATCCGGGCGAATGCACTGACCAATTATGCTACCGCGGCCCTCACGGACCGCGTCGAAATTCCTTCTAGCTATTCTTAAGCTGCAAGGCAGCGCCATCTCTTCGCATTATAGGTAAACCCACAATGTCAAATGAATACTTTTACAAGTATTAAACATTTGAAAGAAGAAATAGCAATTATAGTTATAATTTTTATTATTTTTAAAGCATGTAACTGCTTGATGTTTAAATCTAAAGAAAATATAACTAGAAAAAATTCCACGCGGACCAGGCAGCAGACGGGACTCGAACCCGCACCCTTCGCAATCCGGGCGAATGCACTGACCAATTATGCTACCGCGGCCCTCACGGACCGCGTCGAAATTCCTTCTAGCTATTCTTAAGCTGCAAGGCAGCGCCATCTCTTCGCATTATAGGTAAACCCACAATGTCAAATGAATACTTTTACAAGTATTAAACATTTGAAAGAAGAAATAGCAATTATAGTTATAATTTTTATTATTTTTAAAGCATGTAACTGCTTGATGTTTAAATCTAAAGAAAATATAACTAGAAAAAATTCCACGCGGACCAGGCAGCAGACGGGACTCGAACCCGCACCCTTCGCAATCCGGGCGAATGCACTGACCAATTATGCTACCGCGGCCCTCACGGACCGCGTCGAAATTCCTTCTAGCTATTCTTAAGCTGCAAGGCAGCGCCATCTCTTCGCATTATAGGTAAACCCACAATGTCAAATGAATACTTTTACAAGTATTAAACATTTGAAAGAAGAAATAGCAATTATAGTTATAATTTTTATTATTTTTAAAGCATGTAACTGCTTGATGTTTAAATCTAAAGAAAATATATATGGTCAGTGCATTCGCCCGGATTGCGAAGGGTGCGGGTTCGAGTCCCGTCTGCTGCCTGGTCCGCGTGGAATTTTTTCTAGTTATATTTTCTTTAGATTTAAACATCAAGCAGTTACATGCTTTAAAAATAATAAAAATTATAACTATAATTGCTATTTCTTCTTTCAAATGTTTAATACTTGTAAAAGTATTCATTTGACATTGTGGGTTTACCTATAATGCGAAGAGATGGCGCTGCCTTGCAGCTTAAGAATAGCTAGAAGGAATTTCGACGCGGTCCGTGAGGGCCGCGGTAGCATAATTGGTCAGTGCATTCGCCCGGATTGCGAAGGGTGCGGGTTCGAGTCCCGTCTGCTGCCTGGTCCGCGTGGAATTTTTTCTAGTTATATTTTCTTTAGATTTAAACATCAAGCAGTTACATGCTTTAAAAATAATAAAAATTATAACTATAATTGCTATTTCTTCTTTCAAATGTTTAATACTTGTAAAAGTATTCATTTGACATTGTGGGTTTACCTATAATGCGAAGAGATGGCGCTGCCTTGCAGCTTAAGAATAGCTAGAAGGAATTTCGACGCGGTCCGTGAGGGCCGCGGTAGCATAATTGGTCAGTGCATTCGCCCGGATTGCGAAGGGTGCGGGTTCGAGTCCCGTCTGCTGCCTGGTCCGCGTGGAATTTTTTCTAGTTATATTTTCTTTAGATTCCTATGCTTTGTAAAATCATTTTTTTTTAAATGTGTTAGTCATATTTTTTATATCATTTACATTTATAACGGAAAGTCATTTCGTGAGTTATCTCATTTTTCAATTTGATGACTCTGTATATAATACAGAGAAAGAAAAAAAAGCCCTTGCTAAGTTTCTTGCCGGTTCTTCTCAGTACAAGGTTTCCCGTCGTAGATATGCGAACCGTTGGCGTAGCTTTTCGACATTCACAAGTGCTTGTAATAATTTCAAACTGGTAGCGGGCGGATCATAACAAATAATAGGGTAAGGGTCTAAGATACTGAATTTTTGTTCATTCACTACGATTACCCTAATAAGAAACATTACAAAGGCTTGAACGTTTAAGGTGAATGCAGACTTGGCCGCACCGCACGCGCCGCAGTCTTCGCATTCGAATTCTTTATATGAAGTTCTATGCAACCTCGCACACCCACCCGCGTCGCAGTTGCCGCAGTCCCTGAAACGACCGAACTCCCCAAGCCGCAGCTGATGACGTCACCAACGCCGGCCCGCACGCAGCGGACGCTGCGGCTAGCGCGGCGCGGTTGACGTCAATCGCATCAACTGAATGAATGAAATCAAGTGCGATCCGTGCGGCAACGGGAACTACTGCAGTGACTGCGGTGCATATAGATGTGCGAGGGCATTAACACAAAGCGATGACTGCGGGGACTGCGGAGACTGCGGTGCGGCCAAGTCTGCGTTCACCTTTAGTATGTGTGACAACCAGTATCACCATTTGGTAGGGTATAGTTTCAACATTATCGGACTATATTCAGGGATCAGATCGTCTTGTTTAAAATCTTAAATGATATGGTAGATCCTCCTTTTCTTTTGAGTAACATTCGATTTAAGTGTTCCCGTTTAAATTCTAGGTCTAACAGCCTGTTTAGTGTACCTTTTGTTAAGACAAAATATTCTTCTGACACATTTTTGTACCGAGTCTGTAATTCGTATAATAATAAATTCAATTTTATTGATAAGTTTAATAATGGAATTAATGACAAGAAGTTTTTAAATGAAGTAATTGAATGAATGAACTGTTATTATTAAAATTATTTATTTGTCAATTGGATTTATGTGAACTTCTCTGTTTTTTTGTTTGTTTTTTATCCCAATTCAATTAATGTCGTATATTATTTAACATTATTTGTTTTTCTTTATTAATACACAGCTGCTCATAACTGTAATAGTTGTTAGTGGAAACTTTGTTGATGTATGTTATTTTCTATATTTAATTAATCTATATTCTTTAAAATACTGTTTGTTTCCCAAATTAAAAAAATATATACCAACTTTTCGAAATATATTTATAGCGAGACTTTAAAATCCAAAAGTTTAATTTTACCTTTAGCTGCAACTACACCAGTCCCTTGACCAATTTGCGTAAACAAACTAATAACTGGTTTTCCATCCTGCCTGCCGGTAAACCATTAAGGGATCCATGCCCATGGCATTTTTATGTAAATCGCCGTCTTGCTCTCTTGTTACCGATTTGTCTTCGTGTCAAAACTAAGAGATTGCCCGATTGAAATATTGCAGCGTTGAAATTATCCATTGATGATTAACATAATTAATCAAATCACCCTTTAGCTAGTCGAAGTTCTAGTTTTTCTTGTTATTTTACTCAAAGATTTAAATAGATGATTTTACTTAGGAAAGTGTAATGAAATTCCCGTTTACAGAAGACCACAATGAAATAACACGCACACTTTTTTAAGGGTTCCGTACGCAAAGGGTGAAAAGGGTACCACATTGCTGTCGCTCTGTCATGTGTCTATCTGCCTGTCCATTTGTCCGTATGTCACGAGTCTCTAGATCGTAAACGAAATAAGCTACAGAACTGACATTTTGGTATTTTTTGTAAAATGCTTGCCTAAAGTCTAATTAATATATATATAGTTATAAATTCAATTAAATTATTATTTGTGATGTCATATACATAAAAAGAAGACTAAAAAAATTTTTTTTACCCCAGCATGGGACACATAATTATCTACAGCTCGTTTAGTAGGATATAAAGGTAATTTTTATTATTTTCAAAAACGAAGATTTTTGTGATGGTTCTATCAAAATCTAAACTAGTAAGGAATGTGAAATTTCGGTGTATGATGTCCTATATGCTGTTTTTAAACAACAAATAATGAAAATTCCGATTCATATTGTACTTTGTAAGTTATGACAGAAACAGCAAATATTTTTTCTTTTCGCGGTTTGTTATACGGAACCCTTCGTGCGCGAGTTCGACTCGCATTTGGGCGGTTTTTTGTTGGTTTTGTGTTTCCGTTAGCAAGAAGGTCAACTACCTAATTTATTCTTCTTCTTTCCGTGTGTTTTTGAAAATGGCGCTTATTCTGCATCATCATCAATCAACATGACATTAGCCGTGATAGAATATCACGATAGTTCTATAGAAATAAGAACTACTTTTCACCGCGGAAATCCGTGAGTAATTTGAAATCAGCATACGAATTTCAAATACAAAAAAGCCAAGTGTACGCAGGACTCACATACAGAAGGGTTCGGTACTACAGTACTATATTGAAAATAAATTGGCTAGATTGAGCAAAAAAAGTCGAAAACATTTTGTTTCTTAAATGGATTCCTTTATTTTAAAACTTTGTTTATTAATTTTTATTTGTTGTGATAGCAGTATTTCCGTTCAGGAGACAGAGACAGGCAACAGACAGACAGCGGAGGCAAATTAAAAATGAGTAATATTTTTCCCTTTGGGTGCAACACCCTAAAACAGGATTTATATGACCTCTGTGGTGGACATAAGTATGGTCTCTGAGGACTAATGTAAAACCAAAGTGTGATCTATTATAGCAAAATGGATTTTTCAATACATTTTCCTTTCCTCAGGCCATAGCGTTAACTGCGGGCCTCTGCTTTCTCGGCACGGTGCGGCTCACCCAGACCGGGGTACAGGACGTTCAAGGCGCCCTCTTCATCATCATCGCGGAGAATACCTTCAGCCCGATGTACTCTGTGCTACACATGTTCCCCGAGGAGTTCCCGCTGTTTCACCGGGAGCTGAAGGCGGGACTGTACTCCACGCCCATGTATTACATCGCTAGGATGATCGCTCTGGTAAGTAAGGAGGAAAGTTCCTTTTTTGGTCGTTTTATTGTACGTCTATTGTTACAGCACCCCTAGCACTATCTAGCGAGTGATCTGCGACCGAACACGAAAGAAGCGCGTGTAAGAAGCCATACGGGACACGTTTGCTTTCAAGCTGAAACGAAGAATATCAAATGGTCAGGTCTGCAAATCGCACATCTGCAATACTTTAGATTTAGAGCAACGAAAAACACAAACAAGTCAAAGGAGTCAAAATAGTTTATTTTAATTTTTTTGTCGCATATTTAGACATTCGCAAAGGAATCAAAACCAAAAGGGTAATTCCACCAAAAGGTGTGCAGGACGTTCAAGGCGCTATCGTCTTCATCATCGCGGAAAACACCTTCCGTCCCTTGTACTCCATGCTATATATTATGTTCCCTGAGAAATGTCCACAATTCCACCGGGAGCCGAAGGCTGTACTCCACGCCCATGTAATACATGGGCGTGGAGTGAGCAATGAAAAGAACAACAGCGGTGCGAGCAATATTCAACCAAGACCGCACCTGCGCTTTGTACAACAAGCACAGTTGCTAAGGCGTGTGAAAACGCCGCACCTTGTTCATAACTCCAAATTTGCGCAAATCCATTTTCATCACGCTTTCGATGTTATTCTTTGGATTCAAGTCACAACGAATTTCCATACCGAGCATGGTGTTATTGCTCTCTAGCTTCAGTGTAGTGTCCTGAAGAGAAGGAAATGAAAGGAATGGCGACGTTATTGCCGTGAAAGCGCAGACCTGGGTATTCTTAGCATTGAACTCAACCAAGTTCCTGGTACCCGAATCGGAAATGTAATCCAAAGCCTGATTGAGTTCAATGACAGCCGTCTGTCCAGCTGCTGCTTGTCCGAGATATCCCGCATACACTGTACTATCGTCTGCATAGCAATGCATATTCCCTAGAGGAATTAAGTTATTGATATGCAGCAGAAAGAGTGTGTGGGATAGTACGGAAACCTGAGGAACACCAGCATTCACTGACATGAACCGCGCACTACTACCATCCGTAGCCGAATGGGCCCTGTTACTCAAGCAGCGCTTCAAGGGACGAACGCAAAGTAGTCGCACATAATTATCCAACCTGCTGACACAAAGTGCCATATCCGGCGTTTGATCACCGCTAGACGCGGAGGCCTGGCCTGTGGCGCTTTGGCAGATATCAGACGGTATTTTTGTCTCCGTCAAGAACAACAATGCTGGCCATTGTCTCAAGATGGTGGTGGACAGCGTTGACTCCTGAACTCCACGCCCATATATTACATCGTCAGGATGATTGCTGTGGTGAGTAAGAAGGAAAGTTCATTTTTAAGTCACTTATTGTGCGTGTATCGATATCCTTCGTCTCTGAAACACGTGTAGCTTTCAAGTAGAAATTAATATTTGCAATACTTTGGAAAGGTGAAAAAAGCTAAAAAAAGCTAAAGCAAGTATTTATGCTCAGTTTTTGTAGCATATTTTGACTTTCCGTTGACCTAGAATCATGAAATTTGGTAAGAAGCAATGCCATATAGCTAATCATTACAAAAAATGCGATTATAAATTTATATGCAAATGTAAATTAACCGCGACGGTGCCTTTGATTAATAACGCGATTCCCGTGAAGAATTCATTATTCACATGACTATGAGTTTGTATTCGGCGTGTAAGTCCGAATTGCATTTGCCGGTTTCTTTATTTTATTTAAAAAGCTTGTGACCTGTACCTGTACCTGGTTTTTACTTCGTTTGCTACTCTTCTCTTTCTAGCTATTACCTGAAGTTCTGACAAGTGTACTCACTGCAGACCACAGACACATCACTACAGAATAGTCCTCTAAAAGGTGAAGGGCAATTCCTCATCCTCAAGAGAGGCTATACAATTGGGGCGGCGAAGCTTACATCAGGTGCCAAAGTTATAGGAACACGAGTATACAAGCGATACGACATATACGAACGGATGCCATGCAGTTTGTTATACAGACTTCCACCCCCATTTTAGACCCCATCAAGGATGATTTCTGCAATAAAAACTATCCTGTCCTTTCCCGGGACTCAAATTATTATTTTCACCAAATTTCAACTCAATCGTCGGTCAATGAACATGACAGACAGACAGACACACTTTCGCATTAGTATGGAGTATGGATTATTTTTAATCTTCAATATATTTATTAAAACATATACTTTTTTTTTATATATAGTAGGAAATGCTTTATGCATACCCAGTAACGATATGGGGCCGTTCCTGGGTTATGTGGGACTCCAGGATTCTGATTACCCACTAAAACCTACTGTACTCTTCATGTGCTTATTATCTACTGCACGAGAAAGCGCAATAGCGCAGGCGTTCGCACAGCGGACAGCACTTGGCCTCGCAGGCCTCCACGGGAAAAGAAGTTACCCATCGAGTACTCATGGGCAACTCCTCAGCGCCAGGGCGGAATGGTGATGATGGTGGATGCTAGAGCCCCATTCTAGCACCCACCGCCCCGACTCGGCGGTTGGAGAGCGGCATATTGGCGCCTCCGCCGCCCGACTCGGTCTGCAGAGGGATCCTCCTCTCGAGCCCTTTCCGCGGCCTCCCTCTGTAACATTATCTGCTCGCAGAAGGAGGCGACCGCCTCCCAGGACGTCGCGCTGTCGACCATAGCTCTCACCAGAGTCGGCAGCGAGAGGTCCCGCCCCACAACAGTGACGAGCTGGCGCCGTTCAGCGTCAAAAGCCCCACAAGCCTCTAAAGCATGTTGCGCCGTGTCGTCACTAGCCCCGCAATTGAAACATATACTTAAAATAACCTTGTTTAAGTAATTATAAACATCTGTACGTTATTTGTTTCCTAGGTTTTCACGCACATCACTCATTAAATAAAACTAGTTTTTACGGGTTAGTGCACGAAACTTTATTTATTGACGTTTCGTAGCCTTTACAGGCTACGTCGTCAGAATCAAACTTTTATTTAATTTGTCGAGCTACCTTCGAAAGATTTTTATTGAGCGTTCGGTTATTTCATTATTCGATTTTGAAAGTTTTATTGTCTATATATGAATTTATTATTTAATTTACTTAATAAAGTCTTTTATTTAAAATTCTTTTTCAAACCATTACATTAGATTTGATAAACCACAGATCCTTGCAACTGAGCAGCGATTCGTTCCTAGAATGATATGCGAGGCTATTGAGATTAAAAAATATCCAAATTTCAATAGGGAAGATGGTTGGTATATACCACCAGCTTGGGAACCCATTATACAGGAGATAAAATCCCAACCTCGAGCACACACTGCAAGACCAACAGATACTATTAGTTCTTTTTGTTTGCATAATTTAACATAAGAAGGAGATAGAAAGCCTCTCTTGAGTTTGTTTCGCCGGTTCTCCTCAGAAAGGTCTCCCAATTTTGGAACCGGTGGTAGTTTACGGTAGTTAGGGTCAAATAAATAAACTCAAAATTACAAAAAACTATTTTAAAATAAATGCTTTATTAAGTAAATTAAATAATAAATTCATACATAGACAATAAAACTTTAAAAATCAAACAATGAAATAACCGAACGCTCAATAAAAGTCTTTCGAAGGTAGCTCGACAAATTAAATAAAAGTTTGTTTCTGACGACGTAGCCTGTAAAGGCTACGAAACGTCAATAAATAAATAAAGTTTCGTGCATTAACATACACGATACTTACAATACATAAAAACTAGTTTTATTTAATCTGTACGTTAACTATAAAATTTTAAAATCTTGTTCCTACGGGAACTTTCTATCATTACTAACTTAATGGATGACATGACATATGAATCTCGATTAGAATTACCTGACATCATGATGATGATCATAAATAATTTTATTTTAATTCATTATATCATTTATTATATGAATAAATAAATATTTGAGTATTTAAAAGTACATAATTCAAATTATATTAGCGTGTCCGACAACTTCTATGATAAAATCCGGTAGCTGTACAATAAATTTAAAGTAACACTTTAAACGCCTACTTGAGCTATATTGAATATTCATAATTGGGCTGTCCTCTTCTGAATTTTATTCGTGATCGCCACACTTGATATGTTTAATAAAGTTATGACTTCAAAAAATAAAGTACCATTTAAACATCAAGATTATAACTATAATTGTTATTTCTTCTTTCAAATGTTTAATACTTGTAAAAGTATTCATTAAACATTGTGGGTTACCTACAACGCGAAGAGATTTCGCTGCCTTGCAGCTTAAGAATGGCTAAAAGAATTTCGATGCTGCCATCGGGGCCGCGGTAGCATAATTGGTCAGTGCATTCGCCCGGATAGCGAAGGGTGCGGGTTCGAGTCCTGCTGCCTGGTCCGGATGGAATTTTTTCTATGTATATTTTCTTAAGATTAAAACATCAAGCAGTTACATGCGTAAAAAATAAAAATTATAACGATAAAGTACCATTTCTAATCTAACGATGTTTCTAATTTATCGGACGAAAAAGTTAAATGTAGTAGAATAAAAGCTTGTAAAAAGAAATCATTCTTTGGCTTTAATTATCATCATATTTTAGTTTTACTACGACCATTGGGTATACACTCTAAATATTCCATATACCCTTACCTTTACCTTATTATAGTAACGACACTCTTGATGGTCTTTTCCACCAACTTTTCTCCTTAGAAGAAATCCTGAAATAGCTTGGTAAAAAAACCTTAATTATTATTTAAACACAAATAACATTTTTTTTCGTATGTTTCCAGTTCCCCGGTTTGGTAGTGGAACCGACGCTCTTCACACTGGTGGTGTACTGGATAGCTGGTCTCCGCGGCTCAGCGTACGCCTTCGGTTTCACGGTCTTCATCGCCATATTGGTGCTCAACGTTGCCATAGCTTGTGGTAAGTTTAATACTATCATATTTTTAGTGATTCTGGTGGTACACTCGATAGCTGGTCTCCCCGGCTCGGTTTACGCCTTTGGTTCGACCGTCGTAACTGCTTTATTTGTGCTCAACGTTGCCGTAGCTTGTGGTATATTTAATACCATTGTATTTCTAGTGATTCTGGTGGTGCACTGGATAGCTGGTCTCCGCGGCTCGGTTTACGTCTTTGGCTCGACCGTCTTAACTGCTTTATTGATGCTTAACGTTGCCGTAGCTTGTGGTATATTTAATACTATATATATTTTTAGTGATTCTGGTGGTGTACTGGATAGCTTGTCTACGTGGCTCGGTGTAGGCCTTCGGATTCAAGGTCTTCATCGACATATTGGTGCTCAACACTGCCTTGCTTGTGCACTAGCTTGTGGTATATTCAATACTATAGTATTTTTTAGTGATTCCGGTGTTGTACTGCTCAACAAACATTTCATAGGTCGCAACAACGTGCGAATTGTAAATTTTGGTGCAGTTCGGTGGTTGAACTAAATACGACCGAGAATAAGCCCATTTTATACGGATCAGTGTCGTAATAGACTCACTTAGCAGTCGCTAAGTGAACGTGTAGTAGTAGCTTAGACGTCGTGATATCCACTTTTCGTCGAGTTATGATGGTTATTACCACTGCGTTATGTCATTTTTTCAAACAACCGATGTTCATCACAACTTTTACATGGGGGTTTGATGTAAAGTGATTACATAAATATAGTTGTTGAAATGTTTTAGAACCGGAAAATTCAATTTTGTTTTTAACATTTACATTCATTATTACATCTGCGAAACTTATGTTCAAGTACATAAATGTATTGGGAAATTAATGTTATCGAGTAATGTGCGCTAGTTTTCTCCATATAATGAACGCGCCTACGATTTATTCAAATTATACAATATTTTTAGCTATTATTTTAACAAACTTGTTGACAGTAAACTTCATACTACTTAGAGTTTAGTATACAACCATAATCCAACATCTTAACGACTTTTCATTCCATGCTCTTATTTTTATCTGTTTCTATGAGTCATACTAACAAAATTGGGGTTCATTTAAAGTAAATGTCATGTGAAAAAGCAATTTCATATTATTGCTTACTTTATTGATAGCCTCGGTGACAATAAAAAAGGATTTGTGACATAATGAAAGTCGACGAGTTTTTAACTAAATCTTAAAAAAAAAATATTGAAACATACATATATGTGTATGGGCATGAATATCGTCACACTTTATACGCGTGGATCGTTGTTACGGTTTCGGATTACTGAAAACTAGCGACGAAACAAAACCTTCATATTTTATGTTGAATTAAAATATTGATTAAAAAAATACTCTAGAAAAAATCCACTCGGTCTGGGTTTCAGACGAGATTCGAACCTACATCTTCTTCTATCCGGGTAGACGCCCTAACCAATTTTGCTAGCGAGACCTTAATGGCCGTGTCGCATTTTCTCATTTTTATTTTTTTAGGCTGCAAGGCGGCGCAAGCTCTTCGCATTGTAGGTAACTCACAATGTCAAACTAAATACTTTTACAAGTTTTAAATATTTAAAAAAAGGAACCGCAACTGTAGTTCATTATATTTTTATTTTAAGCATTTATCTGCTAGATATTTAAATCTAAAGATTTTTTTATAGAAAAACTTCCAATCGATCCACGTTTCAGACGGGATTCGAACCCGCATCTTCCGCTATCCAGGCGGGCGGATTTTTCCAAGTATAATTTTCTTTTGATATTAACATCTGGCAGTTAAATGTTTAAACATTGAATTTTGATTGCACGAAAGTGCAAAATTACGGGTCATACAACGGAGCGTGCGGTAAAACGTTTTACGGTCATATTCTTTATACTACCGTCGTTTTAAAACAACACAGAAAAAAATATTACAAAATATGTAGGCACTTTAATTTATTTTTATTCATGTTATTTGATAATAAAGCGCTTTATCGATTTAGTCTGTGTGTCAAATCTTTTAATTAATAATATACTTTTCCCATGTCATTTGACAGATTTTAAGCTTCATGTAAAAAAAAATATCACAATCAGACACAACAAAATGTTAAAAGAGTATCCGAGATAATATTCGTGAAATCGTGGTGAACTTATTGTACCAATTTATGATTGATTTTTCTTGAAATTTAAACACAAAATCTATACTTATAATAAATCTGTAGAGATGTCAATTCTGTACATGAAATATATTTTTAAAATAACTATCAGGGGGTGATTAGTGATCGATACTGATGCCAAAAATGCAATCAGTAAAATTTTTGTCTGTCTGTGTGTCTGTCTGTCTGTGTGTATGTTCCTTATAGAAACAAAAACTACTCAACGGATTTTAACGAAACTTGGTACAATTATTCTTCATACTCCTGGGCAGGTTATAGTATACTTTTCATCACGCTACAATCAAAAGCAGCAGAGTAGTGAAGGGAAATGTTGGTAAAACGGGAGAAGTTACTCCATTTTTTAAGCTTCCGTCGCGGGTGCAGCCTTAATGGTTAAAGTTACATAGAAATCATGTATGACGGAAATATTCTACATGAAATTGTCTAAAAAATATCCCGCAACAGCATATGTCTATCTTTTATAGTTGACTCACAATAGCACGTGTAATTATATAAATAAAGTCATTCTTTATAGCACAAGCCTGAGAACAAAAACTATAGTTTACACTACAGCTCTACACCGAAGCGAAGCGAGGGCGGGCCACTAGTACCTAATAAAGTAATGAAAGATGAACAGAATAATTATCACTGCTGTAACTGTAACCAAAGCAGTGAATTGTAGTTGTAGTTGTGAAGTGTAGTTGAATAGAATAAACATATTTTATGCTTTGGCAACAGAAAATAGATAAATAATCTTGCCATCTGCCAATCAATAATGATATAATTTTATATTATAAAAACCGTTTAAAAAAGA